AATTCAACAACTCTGTTAACAAACAGATCACTTCTGCGGAGTAGCTTGAACAATCAAGTAATAAATAACATCAATTCTTCTCTTTTGGACTTTTAGTGTAGCAGTAAAAATAATATTAAAAACAAACAGCACCTCAACTTAAAATACCTGGCAAGCAATCCCAAGTTTACATATCTCACAGTTTGCTATGGCAATGTCGTCATCAACTTTATAACACCTCCAGACCGCAGACATTATCACGCTTTCTGCTTCAAGCTGCTTTTGTGTTTTACTTCGCTGGCATTAAACCAATAATGTCTCTGCAACAATGTGATGTCATGCTGCACGATTTCCAATCACGTGATGGTATCTGGACATCCTTACTTACAACACTGACTTCAGATACCCATACTGGCTAGGGGTTGTAGAAAATCTGTGGATGGTGGCAAATGCGGTGACTCGACTATGAAGAAATCCATTTTAGACTTGATTTATTGTACAAAAAGGTGTGCAATAAATATACAAAAATAAATTAAAGGAGAAAAATTAAATTGTGCCATCCAGCTATAGTTGTTTATATTGCTTAATTTGCACTGGACATAAAGCAATCCCTTTGCAGTACAGTACTTTTTAAATTGCATGTAAAACACACATATAGTATAGTATATATAGTATCCATATAGTATATTTCGCACACATTAACATTAGCGACTTCATCACAGCGAAAGTTCCTATAAATATGTAATGTTGTGTGTGAAATAAGGGAATGCATGAGTATAAGGGAGTGTCAATGATATTCTTATACAATGAAATTATTAGAAATTGAGATGTCAAAAACTGTGCTATTTGTTTACTTTTTTAAAGTATGGTGATTTGTTGTAATTTTGATTGTACACAATTAAAAGGAGACCATTTACAGTTATCATAATCTCTTTGTAGACATAATTAAATTAAAACATTTCAAATAATCTCAAATAGTTTTTTATAGTTTCCGTCATTCCACAGCAAATACTTTTTAGCATTTAGTTAAACAGAAAATAAAAGCATAAAAAAGAAATTATAGTAGTGTTTACTATAAACAGTATTTATTACAAATTGCAAGCATAAACAAAGTGAAATGTGCTTCACAAACACTCGTGTGTCTCTCTCATTTGCTACCTATACAGATGTGTGTAAGCTTTGCATGTGTGTATTTGCGTGCTAGAAATAGTTTACCAAAATAAATATGTTTACTCACTTTTTGCTCACCCTCAAGTAGATCTTAATCATTATGGGTTTCTTTTTTCTGTTGATCACAAATAATTTTGAAGAACGTTGGAAACCATAGTTATAGACATCCACAAGTCAATGGTTACCGTTTTCCAACATTTTTAAAAATAGCTTCTTTTGTGTTCAATAGAGAAATAAAGAAAAATAATTTTCTTGATTGTTAATTGCGTTTAGAATATATATATTGCAACACATTTTAGATGATATCACAATGTAACATTGAGTACAAAGAATTGGATCATGCAAAAAAAACTATTCTGTGCCTACAATTTTTTTATTTTTTTTTCTGTATGGCTACATAATTTTTTGTTTCAAGTTTTTTTCCATTCAAGTAGTAATTCTTTCCATTTCTCCACTTTTAAATTGCATCACCAAACATCACTGTGCTTTTAGCGTTTCTACAGGTGGTGGTCAGTAAGCCCGGAGAGTTTGCTAAATGCTTAATGAAACATTGAAGGTCACATCATTTCAGTATGGTAAAATAGAGATTTCGAGGGGTGAGTGTAGACCATTCAGATCACAAAAAATATATAGATTTTTATTTTTTTAATAAGCAAAACCATTCACATTAGTTCCAAATGACTAAATTCAGAATAATTATTCCTGTCTATTACACTGGAACACCACAAACAAGCATAGCGATCAACAGTTACACTGCTAATAATAAACATAGCAGTCCTGTGCTCTGTATCAGAAGTCTGGGAACACAGCTTGACCAATCAACTTCAAGGAGGGGACCGGTTGTATAAAAACAATGCAAAGCTCTGCATGTGTTTATCTGTTTATTTTTGTAAGAATATCAGATAACTTCATGTCAGTAGGAATGATTAAATTACCCACGCTGAGCAGGCGAGCTCGAGAGGGAAATGAAGTGTGAGTTTGTGGTTTGTGTTAGTTTTATATATGAAAAACTGAAGCTCACACATTTAAATTACCGGGGTAACCATGTTTGGCTCTGCTGACTGTGTGTGTCAGTGTTTTGCAGTGATGGTTATTTTGGGAAGATTTTTTTTGGATGAGAACATTTGCATTAGTAAGATTGTCCTCTATATATTTATGAATGTGTTAAATATAGCGTGGAGTATACAGTAAGTGTGAATCTGAGTTTGCTTTAAAGTACAGGAGGGAGAGTACGTCATTGTTACTTGATCAGCTACACAGTACCTTATACTCCACACAATGTCTATGGAAGTTTTAATTTATATATTGAATGTTTGGTCTGCAAAATGGATGTTTTTTTGTATATTATCCCAAAAAAACTTCAAGCAACTTTTTTTGGCTACAGGTAAAACTTCTATGTTTCATTTGACTCTGGTGGGAAGTTGTAGACCTGTACACTTTGTCATTGGCTGTTTTTTAATATGCCTTCTTCAGCAATCTTGCGTCCTCGGGTTCTCATGTAACGTCATCATCAACTGCCAAAGTTCAGTTCTAAAACTCAAGACTGCAAGAACGGAGGACGCACAAAAGTTCCTGAATGTTTTCTTGGTTTTGAGTATACGTCGATGCAGACTTAAGGGCAAAACTCTCAAGAAGTTATTGCAGCTGATTCTGAAAACAAGGAGGTGGAAAGCGCATAATTTTTTACCAGTTTATTATTAAAGTTCAGAGATATAACTTATTTATCTCAGATGTTTGCCTTAATGAGACAGTGAAAGGAAACATTACCATGAAAATCTTATTAAAGGAGTAAACACATTAAGGGTGTTTATTTGCTGAGATTTGTATTAAAAACTTTTTTATTTATATTGTGCAAATTATATTTATAAGGCTTTTATGCGTGTTATACATATTGAAAATGAAAAAAAAAACAGTTACTTGTTTAACACAAATGTTCATAACATACAAATACTAAAAAAAAAAAAAAAACTCAATCTTACCTATGAAATGTTCTGCTTTTATGCTTTGTTTGCTCGTTACCACACTTTACACAGCGCAAAAGTCCAGCATCTTCTGATTGGCTGTAGTCTTGATCAGTGCGGTTAAATGACATTTGTCATCCTGAGAGCACAGTACAAATGTTGCGGTGGTATTAATGCATGCACAAGGCTCGCATGCGATATCTAGTATATATATATCTACGGTCATCCCATAGCCTTCCCCTTTTGTTACTAGAGAAAAGCTGGGAACGTTGAATGCATGAAATTATCAACTTCCACACTTTTTTAATCAGTTGAATAAGTGCATCAACTTATTTTTTATGATTAATTATTAATGAAATCACTATACTTTAACTGTTTATACAACAAAATGGCTTAGAATAGTGTATAAGTATGCTATTTGGGATGCACATTCTGTCGCGTTGTTTATAGCCCCTCATTGGAGCACAGCTTGAATAGGTGTGGTAGATTGTAGACTCTGAACATTAAACAAACAGCATTTTACACTGAATCTTTGCTTCTAAGATATGGTCACAAACTTTGAAAGGACAGCTGTGTGCTCACTCATGTGAACTTGTGTTTAATAGACCATATCCTTTATAGGTGGACGCTGCTATGATTTAGCTTAAAAACGTATAAATAATAAGTACAAATGAAACAATCTGTGAAACATACGGTACAAAGCAATAGTGGTAATGTGATTACTCAGACTTGTGTAGTGTGACATTACTGTTGGCTCCAATATAGTCAGCACAGCATTATCATTTAGTTTGAATCTTTCTGAAAATCCAGGGTTGAAATGCTTGTTTGTAAATGGACCTTCAGCAAAATTAAGTGAGTATGTGACCAAGTTCTTACCGAAGCTAAAGTTCATAAACTCTTTCCTGTTGGTGAGATACAGTAATATGGCAACGCAAAGCCTTTTTCCAATAAATAAATATTGTAAAATATATATAATAATCAGTTATCTCACTTTTGAATGAAACCAGTACTCATAAACGGCAACATCCAATGTTTAAAAACATTATTGCAAACTAAAATACAATCAATATTGTGAAATAAATGAAAATCTTTTAAGCAGTATGCCGAAACAATGGAAGTGAAACTAAATATAGAGTCTAATTGGATTGGATACTTGGAGTTTTACTGCAATCAAACAGATGCAGGTCTGTGTTATTATAGCAGTCTTATTGTTACTGAGTGTAATTAACAGCACATTCCCAAATGACTTTCATGACTTGTTGCCGGCTGAATCTGCTAGTGCAACAACAAATGTTTTCAATCAATAGCAATCCTCACATAATCTGTAGTTAATTTTCAAACATGTGCTCCCTCATAGCAACTGTTTGCCGCCTGTAACCATAATGGCTTTAGACACACTGTTTATCTGGTCCTCGAACTCTTGGAAACAGAAGAACAGTCTGAGTCTCTCCCTTGGATGACATTGGAAAAGAACTGAGCTAGAATGATATGAGCATTCCCAGAAAAGTTTGTTTTGAAGGAATATTGATGTTATTTAAGCTGGACAGGGTTCAGAGTGGGGGGAGAAGACTGTAACATTACTCTTCCAGCTTTGATTGTAGCCCTTCACATATGGCTGGAATTATGCGGATAAGAATCTCGCCTGGCTATTGAGAATGAAACATTAAAAAGACTTATCTTAAATAATTAGGACTGGTTGAAATGCTTTGCATATTTAAACTTATTCTGAGCTTTTTTTTAGAGCCCACAAAATATGTATGAAATTTTCACTGCTATCTGTTTTTTAGAATCTTGTTAGGTGTCTGTCACAGCAGTCTTTTAATGTAGAATTAAAAAACTCGAATTTTATGTAAAATTGTTTAAGTTTACTTTTTCTTTCTGTCTCTACAGCTTCAGATAATAGCCAGAGGTTTCAGGAAACGTGTTTTGCATTTGCTTTGACGCCACAGCAGGTCCAACAAGTCAGCAGCTCAATGTAAGTTGGTTTGTTCATAATATGTAACTAAATGTAATAAAGCAAAATCCCAAATTAACAAGTGATGGGGTGTTGGACTTTGGCGCAATAGTACTGCTATTGTGAATAATCACATGCAAAAATAAGTTTGTATTTACATAACATATGCCTCTGTACTGTGTATATTTATTATATATTTATTACTTGATATACAGTTGAAGTTACATTTATTAACCCCTCTGAATTTTTAGCCACCCTGTTTATGTTTTCCCCAATTTCTGTTTAACGAGGAGAAGATTTTTTTCAACACATTTCTAAACATAATAGTTTTTATAACTCATTACTAATAACTGATTCATTTTATCTTGCCATGATGACAGTAAACAATATTTTACTAGATGTTTTTCAAGGCAATTTATAGGCTTTATAGCTTTAACTAGGCAGCTTAGGATAATAAGGCAAGTTATTGTATAATGATGGTTTGTTCAGTACACTGTTGAAAATAAATTAGCTTAACGGAGCTTATGATTCTGACCTTAAAGGGTTTTTAAATGAAAGTGCATTCATTCTAGCCAAAATAAAACAAATAAGATTTTCCCTAGAAGAAAAAATATTATAAGAATTACTGTGAAAATTTCCTTGCTCTGTTAAACATCATATAGGAAATATTTAAAAAAGAAAAAAAATCAAAGGGGGGCTAATAATTCTGACTTTAACTGTATGTATATATATATATATATATATATATATATATATATATATATATATATATATATATATATATATATATATATATATATATATATATATGAATATTCTAAACAACAATATTTTTTTTTTTTTTTTAAGTGTGTAATTAATTATATATGCCTAATTAATTTACAGCACACAAATATACATTATGTTAAAAAAAGCTTATATTTTGTATATGTTTAATCATGAATAATCTTTTATTTCATTAACATATCAAATGATGATTTTTAACTTTCTTTTTGCAGGGACATATCGGGGACCAAATGTGACTTTACAGTGCAAGTACAGTTACGGTAAGTTGTTCGATATCAGTAAAAAATTTACATTAGTATTATATGAAGCATTAGAGTAAATGTCTAGACTCTTTCTTTCTGATTATATTACCAATATGCCTTTTCTCCAGATTTTGTCTATCAGAGACAAGCTGCCCTCAGGAGGACCACTTTCCCCCTAACCTTTGTGTAAAAGTCAATGGGAAACCATGTAATCTCCCAGTAAGTCAAACTGTCGTGCTTTTGTCCAACTATCAGTCACAGAGGCACATTGTTTAATTTAATGAATCATCAAATCCTCCAAACCTCAGAATTTTACATAGTGCTGTTAGTTGGAAGTGTCTATTTTTCCGACTAAATATGTGGTTATACATAAATTCCTGTTTCTGTTGTTTTTCGACAGGGTTATCTGCCTCCTACCAAAAATGGCGTGGAACCAAAAAGGCCCAGCAGACCCATCAACATTACCTCACTGATCAGACTATCCACAACTGTCCCCAACACAATTGTAGTGTCATGGACCTCAGAAATTGGACGGGTAGGTTATTAATTCCTTTACCTCAAAGACTTTAGTATTTATTTAATTTGCCTTTTGTTCTTCACTTCAACAACTTTTCAGGCTAAAGGTGGGAAGTAAATATGTAATAAGGCAAATTAAGCAGAAGTTACAGGAGCTCTTTTTGAAGTATAAATTATTTTAGCCCTCACTTAGCAGCCATTTGCGATCACATAATGGTTACTGATAACTTTGGCTTTAAGATGTTCATATGAAAATGACAGCTTATATGCAAATTTGTGGAGATTTCCAAATGGCAATTTAATACATTTAAATAAAACATTTTAAACATACAATATCAATGTAAACACTTATTGACAAATAACATCTAGCGGAAACGTTTATTGTGTTTTAATAGCTGAAATAGGTTCTCTATTCTGTGTGTTGTGCTATGCATTAAACACATTTTTTTCAGTAACACTTTACAATAAGGTTGTATTAGTTAATGTTAGGGTGTACTCACACTAGGAACTGTTGTCTTAAACCGTGCCCAGGCGTGATTTTTCCCCCCTCTCATTTTCCCCTTGGCCTGCACTCACATTGCATTTTTTGCCTTCCAAGCCCACGCATGCTTACATCATCGATGATGCGACTGTTTAGTTTAACAGAAGAAAAGCGATTTCGCTCCAGACACTGTACATTGCTTTAGTTATATTGTTTTGGATTATTTTAAGTCATTTAATAAGCAGTGACACACAGTCAAATAATTTGCTAAACAGATCCACCACTTTTGATGCTCATAAATGTTCAGGAAAGTCATTGTGCTGCAGGTATTAGGAGGTTTGCTAAAGGTGCAGCTGTTGTGCAGCTGGGGGTTTGTGTCTTTAATAAACTATGACTGTTTGCTTTCATTGAAAAGTAGGAATCATTAATAAATCCATATTAAACAGTCCTTTAAAAGAGATGTCACGTCTTTAGCTTCGCACTCAGATGCGCTTTGCACTCACACTACAATTGTACTGCGCTAAAGCCCAACTGAATCGTGCTCTGGCACACCTCTTCCAACCGGGCTAGGGCCGGCCAACTGTACCGCACCTGGGCCCTTTTCAGAGTACTTACACTTGTCAAATGAACTAGGAAATGGGGGCCAGACGTGACAGGGCATGGTTCAGATAACCTAGTGTGTGTACACACTTAATTAATACTTTTACTTAAATGTACAAACAATGAACAATACATTTTTTACAGTATTTGGTTATGTTATTTTCGCTACACTGTAAAAATGCTGGGTTCCATACAATCCATTTGTGTTGGAACAACTTGAAGGAATTAAGTTAAACAATTAATTTTTAGTCATTGAACATAAAACAATTAAGTTGTTGCAAAAACCCAAAGAATTGTGTTGTTTCAGTCCATTTTAAATAAGTAGTTTCGACAAACAGCATGTGTCATTCTTTTGAGTGTAGTTAATGAAGTTGTTCGTTGTTAGTTTGTTATCTCTCAGTGCATTAACCAATGTGAACAAGCAGGAATTTGAATCTTAATAATGCATTTGTAAGTGTGATTAAGTAAACCTATGATTAATAAATGTGGTACAAGTAGTGTTCATACTTAGTTCACGTTAGTGAATACATTAACTAATGAAATCTTATTGTAAAGTGTGACCATTTTTTCTCTGCGTATTTATATATTAAATGAAATGCTGCAATTTTTATGAATGCTCATTTTACCTTTGATGTTTAAGAAATACATTTTTAAAGAATTTCCAATACATATTAAGAAAAGTAATTTATATTTTGAGAAAAGAAACTGCCCCAAGCATAACTGTAGACACATAAGAGTTCATTCATTTGTGCTACAGATGCACATTAAACATCACTGCTCCTACATTTGATATTCTGCTTTATGAATGATGTCATTTTTTATCGTATAACTTGCCTCAGCAAGCAATAAGCAATCCCAGTTCTCTCTGTGGTAGATTCCTTAAATTTTTCACTCTTGCACAGGAGTCTTGAAAATTATATGAGCTGTATCTTCTCACTGAATCTGAAGGGCTCTTTATTATAGAAGCTGCTCATATGGCACTGATAAAAGGATGATGTAAGATCTGACCTGAAAATATAAATAAATGATGCCTAAAAGAAGCTTTATCTCTGCAGTAGGTTTTCCTGCTATGTGTTATATATTAGTTCTAGTATCTCATTGTAATAGTTAACAGATTATTTTACTTTTCACATTCTTTTATTAAAATACATGAACATTGGATACTATTTTAGTGTAAGCTGTGAGTGTATGTAGTGAAATATCTGCTTTTTTCAGAGTTACTCTCTGGCGGTCTACCTGGTCAAACAGCTGTCATCTACAATGCTGTTGCAGAGGTTACGGGGTAAAGGCATCAGAAACCCAGATCACTCCAGAGCGCTCAGTAAGCAGACTCATTCTCCATCTTTTTTTATTGAGGCCTTTATAAGAACTATATGAGTCCATATTTTCACATTTTAAGTAAAAATGTTTTTTTTCCATTTGGGTTGTAAACATTATATTATATATATATATATATATATATATATATATATATATATATACACACTTTTTTTTTTTACTTAAAGATAGAAAACAAAAGGAGATAAGATTTTTCTTTGTTTGTATTAAAAATCTAAAGTTATTGTTACATAACTAAAATGTAATCTGTAAGAACGGTATATGGCCAGTTAGTGTGGAACAATGACTGTAAAAAATATGGACGACGCGACAGCCCCTTTTCCCATTGAACGCTTTGAGGGCAAAACGCCTGCTTGACGGGCACAAACTGTCGCAAAAGACTGCTGAAATTGGAGCCTTGACATGCGCAGAAGGACCGTCTGATGGAGCCAGAGGAGGAGCCGCGAAAATGACGAGTCGAGCTTCCAACCAAACGCTTTATGTAAAAGCAACCACGCCCCCCGAACTTCTCAGCATGCGTTTGCTGTCATATCAACAGAAATGGATGTAATAACGTTAACAAATATGAGGGTTTTATATATTCAATCGCGCCAGCTCCGGGCAGCAGCGCACATAACCTACTCGCGGCATCGCAGGCTGATTCCGGCTCGCATGCGGCAGCGCCGGCTCGCTCGGCCGCCGCATCTGGCTCGATTGACTCGGGCTGGAATCGGGCAGAGAGTCCAGGCATCCGGAGTAGGTCCAGCAGAGGTAGTCAGTCTGAGCTCTGAGGGGTAAGTCTCCGGCTGGAATCTAGCTGGAACTGGCCCTACTGTATTTTGCTATCTGGGTGGCTAGGCGTACGTGTATCAGCAAACTAATAAAGCCCAAAAAAAGCCCTGACCTTAGCGAATAAACAGTTTTCCACCAGGATCATGTATGTCAGAAATTGTAGTTTACTGCTGAACTAATTTTGTCATGGTAAAATAACACAGAAATCGAATAATAACACTTCAGTCTTCAACCGAAGCTCAGACGCGCTGCTTTGAGAAACTGTCAATCACAACTGTCAATCACGATGAAACGCCCAGCATTAAATTACTGCTAAAAACAAACTGTTTACAAAAATGAAGATCTGCACCTTTTTCAGCACAATAACCAATGCCTTAATCGACCAGAACCATCTTTCGGGACAGTTTATTGCAAGTGTAATTAATTTTTTTATTTGGGCTCAAGTCTCCTTCATTGACACGGAGGAGGCGGGCTTTATGACTTGTACTGCAGCCAGCCCCCAGGGGGCGATCTAACGGCCGAGACCTTCACTCAAACGTAGGCTTGCGGCACACTTGGTGTGGAATAACAGTATAACTCCAATTCATCCTATTAATTTAAACCACTAAAGATCAGATTTTTTTTTATCTTAATTTTAATACAGTAACAGAAACTTCAAGTTTATTATTATTATTATTATTATTATTATTATTATTATTAAAAAAACTGAAAATACCAGACAAACAATTTACAATACATAGACCCTCTTACAGTACAGGCAATAACAATTGATTATTAACAATAAACAATAAATAAATAAATACAGCAATAAATACATACAATGCGGCATAACACATCATAGCTAAATATTGTCAATTATTTAGAAAAGGTGCCACCACTCAACTGTGTGAATACTACTTCAAACTGTTCTCGTGCTCCGCCATCCTATGATATAAATATATATTTAAACAAATAAACTCTGCTTGCTGTAGTTTACAAAGACTGGTGGGAAATATGCATTAATAGAGCTTTATTATTATATATGGTATGTGGTTTATTTTGATAAGTGAACTAATTTTGAGATCACATCACATATACAGTTCTTCCACTCACCTCATTAGGTGGATTTTTCCCTGGTTTTTGTTCTCCTTTTCGATTCAAGTATTGTTTCCCAGCATCTCTAAAAGCCGTCAATTTGTCGATGTTGGCTCGCTCTCATTTTTGTTTATTAATCTTTTTCCAGAGGATTTGCCTCTTAATGTCCGAAGCATACATGACAGCAAGTGGCATCTACATTCTTCTTAGGGGACAAAGAAGTTTGGCAATGTAATGCTATTTTTAATGATTTAAATGCAGACTCTTAGTCGCGCAAAAATATCCCCAAACTTTTTTGTATACAAAGTTCACACACAATTAATGTCACATAGTTATCTCATTTTTTATGTTTTTGGACTAATATTGTTGTTTGTCGCACACACTCTTTGTATTCCATCTATTTGGGATTTCAATTGGAGTTTTAAAATAGCAAATTCCTTTGCTTTTGCTGTTGTTTTCAATTTTTATTCATCATAGCATCTTTAAAAAATGCATTTCTGTTTCCAAAATGAAATATTGAAAAAAAAAGTCTAACTATGATATAATGCACAAAACAGCGTATTAGTATCATCTATAATATTGTCTAATAGTTGCCACATTTAAAAATTAATTTTAAATTACTGTCAATTTAAATTGTAATTACTATTCAAAATATTACTGTTTGAGCTTATAATCAAATAAACGTAGCTTTTATGAGCATAACAAAAATATTACTGACCTCAAATATTAAACAGTATTGTAGTTCTGTGTTTCACTTTACTTGCAAAGGTTTTTATATTTAGAATTAAACTCTAATTTACTCTCAGCGATTGCTCAGATATTAATTTTGAAGCCCCTGTGTCCCTGTGCCAACACATTGCCAACAGCTCTGCTAAGTTTTTATTTAGTCTAATCTAATCTAAAGATGACTTTTTTCTTTGCCAAAGTGGTTTAGTGCTAATTTTATTCAGACGGAATTAGCCTTGTGTCTTCTTCAAAGAAAAAATTAAATAGATTGTGGCTTAATAAGTTGCTGACATCTTTTTTTATCCAGCTGAAAACCCTAAAAAATGTTCATTGAAATCTGCAATCAATAATAATTTTCTTAAACCTATCAAGACTTATATTAGTGGCGGAATGTTTTAGTCAGTAGAGTATAATGTGATAGAAGTAAGTGGTCTGGGATTGATCTAATTAGTGACAGAAATGAACATCACAGGTCTGTCTGCTTTACACAGCTTGCTCTTTGTTCTTGTCTGCCCTTCAAACTTTGCGTGATACTTTCAGATTTTATGCAGCAACCCATAAACTGTCTGAAGAGGCTTGTTAATGCTGAAAGAAGGCCCTGATGCCCTTGTTGTAAACAAGCTACAGCACACCAGCCTCAGGCGGCTCTAACAAATTCTGAAGTACAAACATTTATTCACATGATTTGACAATCATAAATAAGGGGTTTGAATGCTTCTAAAGTGTAATGGTTGTGCCTTTTTAAAGATGATGTTTGTGAATGTAATAAATTGTCCGTCGCTAACTAATGTAATAAATTTACCAGACACTGTTGTTTGAATGTTTGGGTTTGGTGAGATTAATCTTTTGATTTTATCAAAAATAAAAAGAAATACAAAATAACGTAACATAATAGCCTATTGGGCAGTGCACTTATATATAGTGCAACTATGCTGCTGACTTACACTTTGCCAATTTTATTTATTTCTTCCTCTTTCAGTCTTCACTTTCTGTCAGTACTGTATGTACTGTCCTATCGTAAAAAGCTCAAAATGGTCAAAACAATAATTCAAAATATTAAATTTAAAGACAGTATCATAATTTGTTCCTGTGATAGTAAATTTTTCAGTGTTTCATGTATATAGTATGCTGGTTTACATATCACCAAACATTTATTATTATTATCAATCTTGAAAACAATTGTGCTGCTTAACCTCTCTGTGTTGAGAGGATGTTTCCATTCACTTTGGGGTGATTTTGAGTCTAAATTTGGCCACAACTTTCTCTGCCTTTTACCAAATGGAAGGATTTTTGGTGACAATTCTTACTTTGACACATATTTTGGAAAAATGCTTAGAAATTTTTCAAAAACTCAACAATACACTCTGAGCAAATGTATTAACCTTCCTTTATGTTGGTGCCTGTTTTTGCCCCATTGACTTTCATTATAAAAACATTTTTGATTGCAATGCCATGACACCATATAATCATACATTTTTGATTGTTGCTGGTTTTCCCTGTTGGAAAGAGGGAAAATGTGTCATTTTTACTTATGATCATTAGTTGCTGTGCAAAAAAAACTTAGTTTCTGGCGTTTATATGGAGTGAAGTGTGTGTTTGTGTGTGAGAAAGACCTTTGCACACTTACTTTGGTATATCTGAGAAAATCAAAATAAGCACCTCAGCTTTTAAAACATTGCAAGTGTATTAATGTGCGCACGCATACACACACACACACACACACACACACACTAATTTTCTGTTGTACTACATAGAAAACTATATAAATGTCAAAAACATTTTTTGCACAGGCGTATCTCAGGGTAATGGTACTAACTGATGATCAACAGTAAAAAAAATTTAATTTGACCTTTTTCCAAGAGAGAAAACCACCAAAAAATGCATGATTATATGGTGTCAAGGCTTTGCAATAAAAAAAGTGGTTATAATGGAAGTCAATGGGGCAAAAACAGCCACCACCATAATTAAAGGGTGGTCCATTTGAACAATACACAAGGGATAATATTTTGTGGAAACTTCTTTTTTTTTCAATGTATAGAAAGTTCCAAAGAATAATTATGAATGTCTTTACTGACAGTTTTGAGCAATTCAATGTATCCTTGCTTGAAAAAAGTAATAATAATATAACTCCAAATGAAATGAAGACTACGCCAATCACAACTTTCTAAATGTCAGTTTAGGTATGCTATAAAGTATTTGGTCCTTAATTAGGTTCAATATAGCCCAGGGCTCAACAATAAGGACTGCCCGGTGGCCCAGGGCCAGCGTGAGAGACACTTGGGACAGTAGACCGGATCATTACTGGCCCGATTGGGACAGTGCTGCCTTGTCATTAACATTTAATTTGTCTGTGACTATTTGTCAATTGCATGCATTTTAAGTTTGTGCTTTTAAATCTTTAAATGCTACCTTCTCTGTAATGTCGCTAACAACATTTTGCTTTCTGATTCGTCTTATCTGATTGATTTGACCATGCTATTTTTTTTTTTGTAACCTGGTAACAACCAGTACAGCGTAGAAACAGCAACATGGCGGCAACATCAAATTAAAAGGCTAAACGAAAATGTCTATCTCTAACGTGTTGGAAGTAGAAATTTACATGGAAACAACCAGACAAAATAATAATGAAGTGATGTTATGCATAGTTTGCCGTCAATTTGACTAGTCAGCCACCTTTTTTAAAATAGTTTCAAACTGCAATAAAATGCCTCCACATTTTCCATACTGCTCTTTTTGTTTGCATAACACTTATATTTACAATTGTTTTTTAAATATTGAAATTCTAGATTTACAGACTTTATTTTTGACACATTGTTTAAAATATGTGGTTAAAAAATAGCTATTAACTTCCCTTTTTTTTGGTGGAGCCAGTGAAAATTTTGGCAGGGCAGGTAAAAATCTAAACCACTTGCCCGATCGGACCAGTAGAAAAAATCCTTAGCGTTGAACCCTGTAGCCATACTGCTATTTAATTCCTCTAGTTGTTTCGTTTATCACAGACATATATTAATAGCAATGCAGTTGGAAAAGAAAATCTATGCGTGTTTTGTGTATCTAATGTGTGTGTTTTTTTTCTCATGTCCTGCAGTAAAGGAAAAACTAACAGCAGATCCTGACAGCGAAATAGCAACCACAAGCTTAAGAGTATCATTATTATGTCCGGTAAGCATCTTTATTTATCAAACAAGCCATGTTGATTTTTGTATAAAAATACAAGGCAAATGACTAACTGATTCTAAATAAAATGATCATCAAGGGTTTTATTCACACAATAGCTTTGTTTCAAATGGTTACAGAAGACCTTTTGAAAACCAAAACTTATGTTATTGTTTAGGATTCTAATGTTTCAGTATAGTTAAAGATCACAAAAGGCAAGGACTGATGTTTTTAATTTCAAACTCAATATGAATCGCATTCAGAATGTTCCATATATAAATGGACTCATTAATCTGTCTGAAACTGTTAGTCTGTTCAATGTCGGCTGTTTAATTGCTATGATTATATAGGTTTTGGTCATGTTTCTCATTTGTTCTTTTCATTCCTTGGTGTGCCTCCAAACCTACATCTTTCTCTCTCCCTCTCCCTCTCTCTCTCCCTCTCTCTCTCTCTCTCTCTCTCTCTCTCTCTCTCTCTCTCTCTCTCTCTCTCTCTCTCTCTCTCTTCTCTCTCTCTCTCTCTCTCTCTCTCTCTCTCTCTCTCTCTCTCTCTCTCTCTCTCTCTGTGTTTGTTTTTTTTTTTTTTACCTGGATTTTTTCCCCCATGTGTTAATTCCTGCATGATTGTCTGTTCTTTTGCCTGTGTTTTTGCAGCTGGGAAAGATGCGGCTAATGATTCCATGCCGAGCGTTGACGTGTTCACACCTGCAGTGTTTTGATGCCACCCTCTACATCCAGATGAATGAAAAGAAGCCCACATGGGTGTGTCCTGTCTGTGACAAAAAGGCACCCTATGAACATCTCATCATCGACGGGTATGCAGAATAAAAACAACTGAACCGCACATTAAATTCTGTACTTAACAAGGACAAAGCAAAGAAGGTTATGCTATTTTTGGGCATGAACATGCTGTAAAATGGCCTTATTCAATCAATATATAATATGATCAATATACGAATATGATCAATATCTATTTTCTAAACATTTTAATGATAATATATTTAAAAACCCAATATTTATCTCCTGGTGTAATAAAAGAGTGTTTGATTCCTGTTTTAAGTTTTTTTTTTTCTCAGATCTCTTCATTGTCTTTTTTTCCTCTGATCTTTCTTTTTCCAACCCATTTCTCTGACCGTCCTTAGGTTGTTTATGGAGATTCTGAACAGCTGTTTAGATTGTGATGAGATTCAGTTCAAGGAAGATGGCAGCTGGGCCCCCATGAGGTCGAAAAAGGAAGTGCAGGAGGTGTCTGCTTCATACAATGGCATCGACGGTAAGATCCATTCAGGCCCAATCCCTTTTACACCTAGTCCTTCCCCCTGAGCCCTTGAAACAGAGTGTGAAGGGGAAGGGCTTCAAATTAAGAAATGGGACTCCACTACAACACCTGCACTTGTCATCATATTTCATCGCAAGCTTCTTCATATGAGATTGACGATGTCGACTGCTGTAGAGATTCCAGTTGCATTATTTTTTGGAATTTATCTTCAGGAAATCACTTTTATCATAACGATATATTGTTGCAATAAGATCATGACTGAACTGTGCATTTACACTGTGGCCATATGCGTCTATGTAAACACACAAAAACAACATTAACAATATAGCAGACACTGTAAAAGCCTCATTCCCAACCACTAAACTTTTCTGACAGGGGATTCGAGTGTCAGATGTTAAAGTATGTTGTGGGACTACTATACAGAGTTATTATTATGGATTATAGAAAGGGAAATTTTGCATTTTTATCTTTTTTTTTAGTTTTTTTTTTAAGCATGATGGTTAAACACGGTGTAGTTATGGATGTATTAAAGTATGTGCTTATTTGTTGTAAAAAATTGTAATATCGACAAAATTCGCATTTGTGGATCTCCTTCTGCGTGAAATATCTGCCGTTGTGGCTGGTGTATTCTGGGAAATTTTCTTACCCCTTGGTTTCGAGTGTTGTCCTGAAAAATCTCAATTTCAAGGGATATCTAGTCCTTTCCATTAGCCATACGTCTTCAAGCTAAAGAGAATTGGGACATCCATACACCTTCACATGAACGGCTAAGGGGTAGAATTGGGATTGGGCCTAAATGCTCATTTCTGAGTTCATTTTTGACAATTAAGAATTACCCTTTAAAACTCTTTATTAAAAACTAAGGACCGTTTTGCATGGCTTTGTATTTTAACGCGTAAAGTTAAACAAAATGGTCAGCAGTTTTTATTGCAAAATTGTTTTTAACTTAATTATTTACTTAGAATTAGCTGGTTGTTGCTGTCCAGTGAACTTGAACAAAATGTTGATAGGGTCATGTTTATTTCTCACTCCTTCCAATTTTTTTTCCTTCCATCACGTGTTGTTCTGAACGTTTTTAATGTTTTTTTGTTTGTTTTTTTTTGCGGCAGACAAACGCAAGTGTCTCTCTGTATTTTGGTTTGAAACAAAACCTAAAGATTCAGTAAAAGCAGAATGACCACGATGTGTACGTCTTCATTTTGGAGCTTTGCTTTCGTGGCCGTCTCCTAACAACAGGTGTACACACAACAACAGCCCGATGACGCAAGCGTACTGCAGATCAGAAGGAAAAAAGACAGTGTGAACACAAACCAGACGGCGACGCAGTGGAGTAGTAGGTAGTGCTGTCGCCTCACAGTAAGAAGGTCGCTGGTTCGAGTAGGCTAAATAGTCTGTAGTGTGTGAGTGGGTGTGTATGGATGTTTCCCAGAGATGGGTTGCAACTGCAAGGGCATCCACTGCGTAAAACATATGCTGGATTAGTTGGCCGTTCATTCTGCTGTGACAACCCCTGATTAATGAAGGGACTAAGCCAAAAAGGTGGCAAGGGGAGACAATCGAACTTGGGTTTGGTCCAGGCTATTAAACCAAGTGTAAAAGCACCCATATACTCCACCAGTTCCTAACCTATTTGAGTTTCTTTCTTCTGTTGATCACAAAGGAAGATATACTGACTAATGAAAGAAAAAGCAGCCATTGGATATTATTTTTTGTTTTTACTATGGCTGTTTATTTCCAGTATTCTTCACAATATCTTTTTTGTGTTCAAAAGAAGAAATTCATAAAAGTTTCAAACCATTTGAGTGTGAGTAAACAGTGAGATACATTTTCATTTATGGGTGAACTATCCCTTTAAAGCTCCCCCTGAGAAATGTCATCGCACATTTCGTCACACATTCTTATATAAAGTGAGCATGCATCCTGAAACAATTTTATTTACAACCCGCTGTGTGTGTTTATGTCTGTGTGTGCGTGTTTGTTTGTGTGTAATCAGGTGGGTGTCGTACAAGCGTGTTGGAGCAGAATTCTCAAACAAATGGCAGCAGTGGAGGAGGAAACAGAAAAAAGGTGGAGGTGATTGATTTGACTCTGGACAGCTCATCTGAAGAGGAGGAGGATGAAGAACCTCTCCCGAAGAAGAGCTGTCCGTCACTGTCCAGCCTCTCTCCTCAGATGGATAATGGGTAAATGATCATTTTCATCCACACAAATAGCATTCTAAGGGTCATTTTGGCTGAATGCTCTACTCAAGTTTGTTTGTTTGCATCTGTTCACAGGGTGCTGAATCTCCACAGACAAGCATCTCCAGTGAGTCGAACTCCCAGCATGCCTCAGGTGGACACCAGTTACATTCCCCCACCTCCTCCCCTCATTCAGGACTACCGCCACTACTACTCCACACCCACTGAACTGTCAGGTACAAACACACACACACACACACACACACACACACACACACACACACACACACACACACACACACACACACACACACACACACACACACACACACACACACACACACACACTATCATTAGCAGCTGCTTTTAAGTCTTTGGTAACTGGTAGTTGCTACCAAATTTAAGTGCACCTCCTTGCCATCTCTGACTCATTGCAAACTAACAGTTAGATGGGAGTAATTAAGGTTTTTTTGTTCAAGCTGTCAAACTGATGTCATCAGAGAAGAATCATCGATGCAGAGCAGAAGCAAATTTTTCAGATTTGGATTCGAGATATTTGAATCAAAATATCCAAAACCCACTAGAACAGTGTTATTATGTTTTGTTTCATTAACATTGAATATTTATGCTGTATTGTCTTCTGTATAATTTATAATCTTGTCTATTTACTGTATTTTTTATTGTTATTATATAAATTTACCAAAACTATATTCATTATCTGAAAATATTTTTGTGAATTCTGCATTACGTTTACTTATTCCTTAATTTGTTCATTCATTTGTTTATTCGTTAATTCAGTTATTTATACCGTTATAATATAAATGACACCATGAAAGCAAAAAATTATTTGGTTGATTTAAATAAAGCTAAATTAAATAAAACATTAATCAAAAAAGTTGAATGGAAATAAGAAATGTTGCTTGGTGCCCTTTCTCTCCTGCCCTTTTTGCTATTGAGATTGAGCCCTTTGCCCTAAGTATAAGACATCACATAGATATTACAGGGAAACAGAGAAGTTCTCATTAGTCTTTATCCAGATGACATTATAATGTATCTGTCATACCATAACCACTCAGTTCCAACTCTACTGAATCTAACCACTTCATTTGGAAGAATATCAGGATATATAATCAATCTGTCCAAAAGTATTTTCATTCCCCTTTCTGACATTTATGACCCTGACTTCCTATAAAATATTCCATTTAAGGTAGTTAATGATCATTTCACTAATCCTGGTCTGACAATCCCTAAAGACTAAAAATTAATATTCAAATTAAACTTGTATCAAAACGTAAAAATAATATTATGTGAACTGGATGATTTTACCCGTCTACGATTGGTCGCATAAATTCAATTAACATGGTTTCTCTACCTAGATTTTTTATATCTTTGTCAAGATCTCCCTATTTTCCTTACTGCACTTTGCCAAACATTGCCAAATGTTTCGACAAATGTTTATACCCAGAGAAATTAGCTAAATGTTGGGTCATTTTAATTCCCACATCATACACTCTTGATTTTTTTATTTACATAAAACGTGGAAACACTAAAGATGCTTTAATATGTTTTATGTGCTTCTTGTCCATGTGATCACAACTGGAAAAAAACTGAAGTAGTCGACTGTGGCATATCAAAAACTCCACTTTTTTTGTGCCACGTCACATTTGTCTCTCATCAGCTTGCTTTTGTTTTGCGTAGACGGCTTTTGGTCGTTCTTTGCTTCACACTACTCTTATGATGTTTTGAATACTTTAGCTAAGTGGTGATCAACCTATTTATCACAATCGACCGGTAGATCTTAATGACTCTACCCATAGATCCCAAATATCACAGAAGAATAAGTACAAGAAATGCATCTCGAGCGATGTAGGCCTATCTCGCTTTATTTTTCTTGATCCAACTGCTGTGTTAACTGCCGCAATGTCATTACACAGCTCTTCATATGACGTCCCACACCCCAATAGGCATCAATTCAAATTGAAATTTTTACTTAGTTCCAGCTCAAGCTAGAAAATCAAATTAAAATGTAGCTTTATTTTTTTCTGTCAGCTCTTTAAAGGGTAGATCTTGCCCTTTTGCAAGGTTAGTTATCTTCAGTTAAAAAAGGATTTAGCTCATCCATCAACATGATTTCAAGTCAATTATCATGACAGTCCCATAGAATCTAATGAAGACCACAATTTTCATGATTCCACACTTATGTTTGCTTTTTGTGTGTGCCCTCCAGCAGCAACTATTACATGCTGTGCTTTTAGGAGTACAAAGACAAAAATAGAGTATGTGGTGTCAACTTTTTGTTAGAATATTTGGTCCCACTTTATATTAAGTGGCCTTAACTAATATGTACTTACACAGGATTTAATAGTTTGTTACAATGTACTTATTGTGTAAATACATGTATTTATTGTGTTTGTATGCTTGATTAAATACCTGTATGTAATTACATCTGTAATTAACTTCTGTAATTACATTTGCAAATATACTGTTGACCATCCCTTACACCTTAACCTACCCTTAAACCTACCCATACCACCAAACCTGTCGATAACCCAACCTCTATCCCAACTCAAGAGCACCACAAGTGTTCTCAAATACATTATGAACACAGTAAGTACATTGTATTTATTTTTGATGCAAGTACATAGTAGTTAAGGACACTTAATAAAAAATGGGACCGAATATTTTTTATAAAAGATAAAACATTTGAATTATTTCTTCATTTAGAGAGCAATTTCACACAAAAATACATCACAGGATGTCACAACCTCCATTTCATGCTGATGTAAATGTGGAATATGTCCTCCATTAAGTGTAATGTATTTGTGCTAATTTGTCTCTGTTACCTTTTACAGATCTCAACTTCTTTCCTTTTTTACAAGGGGAAAATCATCAGGTAACACAATTCACTTTTTAAGTGTTTATCAGTCTGCTCTGATTGACTGTTAAACCACATTAAGCTGTCGTCTATTTTCCAGCACTACAACATGGTGATGGCAGCGGCTGCATCAGCGTCTGAAGATCATGACCTTCTCCTGAGTCGATTCCTTCCGTACGGCTCGTCTCAGCTTTTCCTGGATCCTCCCTCCACCCCTGTAAACAGCAGCCTCCCTCCCATCAACGTCAATGGCGGCAGCACTGGCAACAGCCTGGTGTCCTCCAGCAGCCTGAGAGAAAGCCTCGGACACCCACCCGGCCCGCGTCCCACCTCAGATTCAACCCCCACATCTGCCATCTATGGCTCCATCCCAGATGTCATCTCACTAGACTGACCCAGGGCCCAGTCCTTGCATAGCAAACTGACTGAAGAGACTTCCGCACATTGGGAAGACAACAGGACTCACAGGATGACTGAAGGGTGTTTTTCTAAACGATGATAATCGTTGCAGTGTACAGAGAACAAATCTATTTTTTGTTTTACTTTTGTATATACCTATCTATCTAGCTATCTAATGTATATGTAAACTTGAAAGAGTTTTTTTCTCTCCTTATCAGCTTGCTAAGTTACTTTGGGTTTTATCTAATGCTGTTTTTCCCTCACAGCTCCGTCTCTGCCCTTTAATGTAATATGAACACTTTTTATATCTTCTTTACCCACCATATTCTATAATCATCTAAAGTTTTTAATGAGACCACAGGGCACAATGGCTGCGTTCAGACCGTCTGACGAACTCCTGGCTCTTTTCTGTTTCTAGCAAAACTTGACGTATCTCTGCCAATCCATATCACGCGTTCCCCTAAAATTGCAGAATAGTTTATGTAATACTTTAATAGGTAGTTCCCCCAAAAATGGCTTTTCTGTCATCATTTTATTAACCTGTTGTTGTTCCAAACCTTATTGTACAGAGCATAAAAGAACAGAGAGTTTTTCAGTGTTACAATGAAATTCATTGGGATCCAAGTGTTGTTTTGGTCCCCACTGAAACTTTCATTAACTTATTTTAGAAATGAAAGTCAGGTTTGGAATGATATGAGGGTGAGTAAGTGTCTTCACATTTGTAGTTTGGTTCTCGTTGGTTAGTTTGACCTGGACCAAAGTCTTATATTTAATGCTGATTTGCTTAATGAATCACTTTTTTTTTTTTTTTTTAAGAAACACTGAACCTTAAGATACAAAGCGAACAATAACAACAAAAAATGTTGTAAGTATATATTGTAAGAGAAGTTGGCTAAAAAGCATAGCTATACATGCTATATCAGCACGTATCAGCATCAAAGGCAAAATGCAGCAGGAATTGGTTCACTGCACACAAACAATGATATCAAAAGAGAAATGTGCCTGATGCCTTTTTTTTTATTTGTAATGGGTAAAATAATTGATATGATGATAAGAAAACAAACAACAGAAGTTCTTGAGCATTCCTTTCTTTTTATCCTATCTTTTTTGTTTAGTTGCTTGCTCATTTTCCTGTTTGTTTAGTTTCTTGCTTATTTTCTTGTTTGCTTATTTTGTTGTTTGTTTAGTTTCTCATTTGTTTAGTTTCTGTTTAGATTCTTGCTTATTTTCTTGTTTGTTTAGTTGCTGTTTAGTTTATTGTTTTTTTTTTCCTGCTTATTTTCTTGTTTGTTTAGATTCTCATTTGTTTAGTTTCTTACTTATTTTCCTGTTTGTTTAGTTTCTGTTTAGTTTCTTGTTTGTTTCGTTTCTGTTTAGTTTATTGTTTGTTTAGTTTCTTGCTTATTTTCTTGTTTACTTTCTTGCTTATTTTCTTGTTTGTTTATTTTCTTGTTTGTTTAGTTTCTTGCCTAGTTTCTTTTTTGTTTAGTTTCTTGCCTATTTTGGTTTCTTGTTTCAGTATCGGTTTAGTTTCCGTTCAGTTTATTGTTTGTTTAGTTTCTTGCTTATTTTCTTGTTTGTTTAGTTTCTTGGTTTATTTTCTTGTTTGTTTAGTTTCTTGTTTAGTTTCTTGCTTAGTTTCTTTGTCCTATCTTGTTAGTTTCTAGATCAGTTTTTTTTCTCCTATCTGGTTTGTTTAGTGTTGTTCATATATTTTATTAAATTGCACCAGTGTTGATTAGAACGTGTATAGAGACCCACTTTTTCAGCAGTCTCAGTAATTTTACTTGGTGTACTCCAGTTAAGATGACAGCATTCACACTTACTCAAGTGAACCACACTAAAATAATAAATCGCACTAGAGTTTGTCTTAATCTAACCAAACCTACAAGTGTGAACACATAAATGATGACTGAATCTTATTTTTGAGTGAGTTATCAATTCGTTTTTGCGTTGGTGGGCAGTTACAAAGCATTCCTTCACCTTCAGGTTGACAACTGGAAGTAGATGCAGTGTTATGGATTGCCAATATCTGACCTCATGATTCTTGTGTGAAATGTAATTCATGACTGTTTTGAAGAATATGTAATTCTTCTAACAATTTTGCATCCATATTTTTCTTGCTCGATGCCAAAAGAACACTGTGTTCAGTGTTGAAGTTTCTAGAGTGAGAGATTGTGAGTTCAGTGAACTTAAACGTACAGCTTGTGTAGTAAGTAAGGATTTTAATCTTTCGTTGTGGCTACTATGCTTGATTGTTCATTCTTTCTTTCTTCTTTCCGTCCCCGTTGTCGTGATTTCCTCAGAAGGAATGATTCGTCGGGAGGTTCAGCAATGGTGTAGATCATAGGTCTCAAGCTCAATTCCAGTTTTGCTCCAACCCTAATCAAACACAGCTGATACAACTAATGAAGGTGTTCATGACTCTTTTAGTCACCTTAATTATTAGAATCAGCTGTGTTTGATTAGGGTTGGAGCAAAACTGTGCAGAGCTGCAGCCCTCCAGGAATTGAGTTTGGGCTTTGTGTAGATGGTCAAGTTACTTTGGGTTTGGTGCGTATCTTGAACTTGCTCATAGATGTTTGTTTCCACCTGAGCTTGTTGTCGTCTATTAGATCATCTGTGATCGGTACAGTGTGGGAAAACTGTTCTAAAGCCACTTGTTTTTTTTCTACCATTCTGTCACGTGTGCCTTGTGTGTGTGTGTGTGTGTGTGTGTGTGTGTGTGTGTGTGTTCGTGCGTGCGTGCGTGCGTGCGTACTTGTTTGTGTGTGTGTGTGTGTGTTTATTTGCAAACGAAAGACTGGAGATGTTATTTTAGCCTCTATTAAACTCAGATTTGGAGCTCTTATCTACAAACTCAGTGTTTCTGAACAAATAATCCAATGGCTGTTCTTTTAAGTGTTGCGGGGGATTAACAGAGGAAATAATTGCAAAAGTTTCAGTGCAAACTACATTAAGCAAAATCAAAACAGAAGTATTCAGAAGCTGAATGGAATAAGTACAATTAGGAAAAGCTGAAATCTATTTTTTAATATGTACTTATTTGACACAGGCTGTTTTTTTATTTGTGTGTATGTGTGTGTAGCGTGGCTCTCTCAATGTGTTGACCAGACCTCTTTTCAGAGCTTGATTGGGTTTAGGACCGGGCTAATTGCGTGTGACAGAATCTAGCGACCGCATTTTGTGCTGTTTGATAGACTCTGTTTCCTTTGCCCTCTAAACCTCCTTTTACCTACATTTCCTCTGAAAGTATTAGATGTTTATCACTTGATTTTGTCTCTAAGATTGGAATCGGTTAAGTAATTAAAGAGAGAAAAGGATGGAGACGAAAATACAAAATCATTGTTACCAAATCAACTACTTGTTAGATCTCTAGCAGTGTTAATAATTCCCTCTTTTCAACAAGTAAACCTTTAGGTTTGGTTCAATGTTTTTGTCTTATATGTGTTTGACAAGCTTTGTTATTTAAGTAAGGTTCAATGACAAACAGGAAACAGGTTTTCGTTCATTTGCTCATTTCAGACATGACTGATAAAGGGATATGCTGTGTGTGTGTGTATGTGTGAAAGAGCGTGTGCATGGTTTTGTTCCTGACCACATTGTGCAAACTTGGTTGTTCCAGTGATGTGCATTCATGTGTTAAAGTCGCAACTTCACAACAAACTAATTTATATATTTTTAGATGCAGAACTGTGCTATGAGTGGACTCGGTGTCAAAGTCCAGCTTTTATTTTGTTTTCCATTTCAGTAAGCTGACATCTATGCTCACTGCCTTAAACTTCATCCACTCTGTGTCTGTGGCATGTTTTAAGAAAAGGAAAAAAAAAAGATTTTTAAGATGTGGAAGACATATTGTACAGTAGACCAATGTCAGTTTGTATAAAGTACTAAGTGAAAAAAAAATATTTATTACATGCATTGAAAGAAATTGTTTACTTATTGAATGTTACATGTTTATGTAGAGACATTTAGATGTAATAAAATGCATTGAGTTAACCTTTTTGGCTCTTGATGTTTGAGATATTAAACATTTCTCTCCTTTATGAAAAGCTCGGCTACTTTAATTTGCTGACTGGAAAGTAAGTGCTGTAAGACAGTCAGACACGAGGCGTTTGAGCTGAATGGCGTTCTGCTCTGCGATAAAGGTCAGACGAGCCTGAATCAATCTGTGGAAAAGGTGAAGATTCTAAATTCAGAACTAACCTGGTGCCTGTTCATATTTCAGCAGCAACTGTATCTGGGGCAACAAACGCTAACCCATTTTCAACTCTCACAGGGAGAGTTTAGATTATTTCTAACACCTCTTTATTGCATATATGCATTTAAAAGCTCTTTTCTATCTTCTAGATTGCCTTTTATGAATGATAGAAGCCACATACAACCATCCAACTCTCATAACCTCTCAAATGTAGAGTAGATAGGGATGGCTCTGAATGTATTCAGATTTCTAATGCCTTTAAAATAAATACTACTGTAAAGTGCAGGGATTTCTATCCTGCCGTTCTTTTGTGTAGTGATGCTCAAGGCTTTATCCCTGAGCATCAAGCTGTATTAATGTTGGTACTTAGGCTGCATATTTACATGTGAACAGCAGATGGCAGTGAATACTTACCCAGAGATCCACCTGCTTTACTGCAATGTAACATGTTTAAAGTATATAGCCTTATTTAAGCAAAATACCTGCAATAATGACTTTTTTATTGATATTTCTATTTAATCATGATTAATAAGTTATTTAAAGCCTGTAGATTCACAAACATGTGCAAAAAAATGTAAACCATGATTTAAGAATGGCATGCAGGATAGTAACTATGAGCTAATAATAAATAAAAAAATTACATTAGTCTTGTTTACCTTAATATTAGTTATTGTACATGTTTCCATTTATGTCTCCCTTCCGAAAATGATACATGGATTTATTATAGCAAAAGTGTATCTAATAAGCATGTTTTGTTGTTGTTCTTTGTTATATTAACTGCAGTTTCTGTTTCCACAAATTAATCAAGAATAATGCAAAAAAAACATGGTTAATTTTCATAAGAGAATGTTTTTTATATTGTTACGACGTGCATAAAAAAATTGAAAGGTGTTTGTATCAGCCTGCGTTTATTCAGTGACGAATCGCTGATCTTGGTGGGCGGAGACATTTGAAAAGCGCCCGACATAAATTGTAGAGCGCGCCGCATTCTGCTCAATACTATCAACACCATGTACTTGACTGTGGCCATAAAGGGTGAGTACGGCCAAAAACTACACGCACAAATTAATTGAATCAACAACAGTTTGGTAGAATGAATATTTAAGTGCGCGTAAAGACATGGGAAACACCGAAGTTGTGAAGTCGCTGGATATGATGGGAGACAGTAATCAGAGCGGTGTAATAAACAGATCAATCAGTGACCGCGAGCGCTTCAAAAGTCTGGAGGACATCGACGTGTCCGCCGACGGGAGTCCGGTGTTGAGGTGCTTGATCTCCATCACCTACTCTGTGGTGTGCGTCGTGGGTCTGGTTGGAAATCTGTTGGTGTTCTTCTTCATTCGCGTCAGGCAAGAAAGACGCATATCCAAGATAAACTTCTTCATCCTCAATTTGGCGGTGACGGATTTCCAGTTTGTGTTGACTTTGCCTTTCTGGGCAGTGGACACGGCGCTGGACTTTAGCTGGCCGTTTGGAGACGCCATGTGCAAGATAATCCTGTCGGTGACCGTGATGAACATGTACGCGAGCGTCTTCTTCCTGACGGCGATGAGTATTACGCGCTACTGGTCAGTGGCTTCGGCTCTGAAGGACCGCAGCAGGCAGACCGGCTGCTCGATACGGTGGGTCAGTGTGATTCTCTGGGCTCTGGCCACCGTGGCCACCGCGCCAACATCCATTTTCTCCACAGTCACTAACGTGGCCGGTGAAAAACTTTGTTTACTGCGCTTTCCCGACGGACAGTACTGGCTGGCGATCTATCATGTCCAGAAAATCCTCATCGCGTTTGTTTTGCCCATGGCGATCGTGTCTGTCAGTTACCTGCTGCTGCTGAGGCTCATCCGGCAGCGGAGCATGAAGAACAGCTCGAAACGGCGCACGCAAGTCACCAAATCCGTCACCATAGTGGTCCTGTCTTTCTTCCTCTGCTGGATGCCCAATCATGCCATCACATTTTGGGGCGTGCTGGTGAAATTCAACGCGGTGTACTGGGATAAGTCGTACTATATCGTTCACACCTACGTGTTCCCGGTGACCGTGTGCCTTGCGCACGCAAACAGCTGTTTGAACCCACTTATCTACTGTCTGATGCGCAAAGAGTTCAGGAAAAAAATTAAGAACCTTTTTATTCGAGTCTGAGAAACGTGTTTCTTGTCCTGTGTTCTTTCCGTGATTAATGGGTTATTTTACTCAGAATGTTATTTACTTCTCCTCAAGCTTTATTTCTTCAGTTGAGCTCTGAAGATGTGTTTACATATTTGTGGAAATCATGGGTTCCTGGTGAACTGCACTTTAACAATATACACTTGGTGTATATCAGTTGTATGTGTGATTGTTTTTGTACAGTGTACAGTTCTTGTGAAACAGTTTTTGTAAAACATTCAAACAGAAAAATTGCTAATATAAAATAGTATCTTTTGCGTGAAAAGTGCAGCTAAATTAAATTCAGCGGCATTACATTTTTTATTTTCTGTGAACAAAACTGATATGCTTATCATTCCTCTTGTGGGAAAGTTGTAAACCTAATACAGTATTGTACACTTGATCCCAATTTCTGGGACAATTGTGTGTATCTTGATCTTTGGGGGTGTTAAATTAAATTAAAACCTGATTTTAATAAACACACAGATACTGTTTAAGAAGCCAGAAACTGTTTTTGTAGGATGGATTTGAACAGCAAGTAGGGTACATACCTTCTTAAATAATATAATTAAATGAACTTCTTCCATCAGTCAAATTTCATTGTGAATATTTTGGCGTCTGCTGCTGGGAAATACATGGATTTTTGAAAATCTGACACTTGTATTGAAAACAACATACATCATTTTCAAGGCCATGGTGTTCATAAATGTCAGATGAAGGCAAGATGAATTTTTGGGGATAAAGTTTGATATCAGCAGGTTCATTATCTTGCAGACTAAATTCAGTAGAAAAGCTAATATGCGGTTTGGTGGCAAGGCTAATTATGACAAGTCTGAGAAAACTTTGTTTAGTTTTATAATATACAGTTGAAGTCAGAATTATTAGCCCCTTTTTGATTTTTTTTCTTTTTTAAATATTTTCCAAATGATGTTTAACGGAGCAAGGAAATTTCACAGTATGTCTGATAATATTTTTTTATCCTTCTGGGGAAAGTCTTATTTGTTTTATTTCGGCGAGAATAAAAGAAGTTTTACATTTTTTAACAACTGTTTTAAGGTCAAAATGATTAGCCCCTTTAAGCTATATTTTTTATCGATAATCTACTGAATAAACCATCGTTATACAATTACTTGCCTAATTACCCTAACCTGCCTAGTTAACCTAATTAACCCAGTTAAGCCTTTAAATGTCACTTTAAGCTGTATATAAGAGTCTGGAAAAATATCTAGTAAAATATTATTTACTGTCATCATGGCAAAGATAAAATAAATCAGTTATTAAAAATGAGTTATTAAAACTATTATGTTTAGAAATGTGCCGAAAAAATCTAAACAGAAATTTGTAAAAAAAAATAATAAAAATTAAACAGGGCGTCTAATAATTCTGACTTCAACTGTTTATGCTTATACAAATATTGAGTTAGAAATACACCCTTTGAAAGAACTATCCAATCATTTTTTTTAATACACTGCTTAAAAACCTCTTCTAAAAAGCATTATTGAAAGAATATTTTCTTATATTTTACACAGCATTTTAAGAATGGATGACCATCCTTGGCAAATTTAGGGTTCTAATCCAATTTGTTAATTCTTCTTTTCTCTCAGCACATGTTCTGAATGTTAACACACACTCACTGGATCCCCCTCTCCCTTGCCTATCAGACATGTCTTATTTTCAGTTAGCATTACTGACAGACACTCACAAGCTCTCAGCCAAGAAACGACCTTCCATCCTGATCAGAGCTTCGTGATTCAAAGCATTGGGGAATACACGAGGAAACAGCGCGGCAGAAATGTTTCATCTAGTCATGCAAGGCCATATTAGTCTCTGCACATATCCGAATGTGTTTTTGTATCCTGTTGAAATGACAGCTCTGCGGCGTGCAGTTAATTACCCAGAAAAAGGGGCCGATCAGGATCATAACTGATGAGAATGCTTAACGTCTTGTTAAATTGTGGTTGCTTTAAATCACTTACACAGTAAGCTAATGAGGGTCATTTGCAGGCAATTTGGAAGATTTGAAAAGACGGTACATCTGCTACTGTTTACCGTCACACTCACATGGGAGCCTCTTTAATGGACACCCGGCCGGCACAGAAGTGATGCTCTTGACCATGTTGTGTTGGTTATGATACGTCACAGCTTCGGCTTCAGTCTGTAGAGGCCAGCAGGCTCTGAGGAAAAGTCTGAATGAAAGAGTCTTTTTTTGGAAGCAAACATTTACCCACTGAAGACGGTTTTCAAACAGAAAGGAGCCTTTAAAATCAAAGCAGTAGGCTGGCATCTGCTCTCATTTTATGTGGCATCCAAACACTATTTGTTTAAACATCTAGAAACCTCACAAGGAGGGAAATTTCTATTTGTCTCTGAAAATACTGTTTGGGTTTAACTTTATTTTCATGGCCCACTCTTAACATTTGTTTGACTATAATAATTGCAAATGTCTCTTTGCTAACTCTCATTAGAGTATTATGTTAGGGTTATAGTACACTGTACAACCCAACAGTCAACTTTATCAAATGACATGAGTGTGGTTCACTCAAAATTGACAGAAATTTTGAACTCAGTTTTGAAGGTAATGAGTTAATTAAATACCTCATTACTTCAACTTAAATGGGGTAAGTTCACAGTACTCATATAGATTATTTTTTTAACTCAAATGGTTTGTAGCAATCGGTTTCCTCAAATGGTTTGAGTTGCCTTAACTTATTGGGTTTTACAGGTTTGAGTTCTCTTCGTTTATTGGGTTTTACTGTGCTCAGAATGCTTCGTTTACTCAAATGGATAAAGTTCACAGAACTCATTAGGATTAGTTTTTGAACTTAATTGGTGTGATGCCATCAGTTTATTCAAATATTTTGAGTTACCTTAAATTTTGGGGTTATACAGTGTATAAGTTAACATATGTGTTACAACAAATAACTGTGCAACCACTCAAATAAATGACGTTTGCTGCTGGTTTAATCTGTTTGTGACATATTACTGTATTATTTTATGTTTAATCCACTGAAATCTGTACAGTAATTACTGTAAGTTAACCCAACACATTTGTTTTAGGACAACATGATGGAATTATGTGGAACCCAGAATTTTTACAGTGTATGTCAATTGCGGGTATTAAATTAGACTGTCTGATTAAAGCAGGAGTGCCCAAACTTTTTCGTTTTTTGAAGAGCCAAAAACCAAATATCATTGAGAGCTGTGGGCTGAAGTTAAATATACCAAACTATATGACATTGAATTTCCAGCGGTAATTTCTTAATTTAATTAATAATATTTTAAAATATAGGGCAGCACGACACACACATGTTCTCTCTGTGTTTGTGTGAGTTTCCTCCAGTTGCTGCGGTTTCCCTGACAGTCCAAAGACATGCGCTATAGGTGAATTGGGTAGGCAAAATTTTGAGTTGTGTATGTGGAATGCGGGAGTGTATGGTTTTTTCCCAGTATTGGCTGGAAGGGCATCCTCTGCGTAAAGCATATGCTGGATATGTTTTCAGTTCATTCCGCTGTGGCGACTCCAGATAAATAAAGGGACCAAGCCGAAGGAAAATTAATGAAAATTTTGAATGTCTCACTTTATGTATTCTGCTGATATATATACAGTACTTTGCAAATATGTATCTACTTACTCTCATACTTGTTACTTATAGTTTATATAGTCTGTTTTGGTATCATCAAAATAGCAAAAGTTATACCAGATATTAAGCAGACAGTAATCCAATCCTTTAATAACTGCTGTTATAAAGTCGTTGCAGAGTTACCTGTATTCAACAAAATGTTTTAAGGGGAACATCAGAGTACAAAATGATTAAAGGGATAGTTCACCTAAAAACGAATATTTAATCACCATTTGCTCATGTAACAGAAGTGCTGTGCAGGTAAACCCCACTCCTCTGACCTCTAAAGGTGCTCTAGTGACAGACGCTAGAGGCCATGGTCTTTAGCCTTCTTGTTAGAGCAACCGACTCCAATGTGGAGAGTTGCCAGATTGATACCAGCTTGGAGCAGGTTTGGTGGTGTAGGACCAGCAGGGTGACTTTGGTGCCGTGACCCGGAGGTTTAGGGTGGTGAGTGTAACTGGAGCCAGCTAGTGAAGTGCTATGCAGGTGAATCTCACTTCTCTGATCTCTAAAAAGTACTCTAGCAACAAATGCCATGGACTTTAGCCTCTTAGAGCAACCGGCATCCATGCGGAAGGTCGCCGCTTCGATCCCAGCTCAGAGCAGGTTGGTTGGTGTAGGTCTGGCGGAGGTTGCACCCTAAAGTGGTTCCAGCTTTATGAGTTTCCTTTTTCCATTGAACCCAAAATAAGACATTTTGAAAAATTTAATCATTGACTTTCATAAGAAAAACAAATATGATGGAAGTCAATGGTTAAAGATTTTCAACATTTTTTTTTAATTATCATAGTTTTTAAAATGCATTTTTTTGTGGTGGAAAATGATGAATGGATATACTTTACTATTCCTTTAAATACTTTAATAAATGCTTCTTGATATAAATACTGCTGATGTGGCTAAAAAGTTATCTGTGGTTGATGGAAAGTCTGAAAGGGAGCATAAAAATGATCTGCATTTTTTTATGAACACATTGTATGTCTATTCAAAGAACAGCATGAAATTCCTGACCAACACTGCTGCTACTAAAAAAACATTGCTTGTATTTAGCCTCATATTAGAAGGTTTGGGAAGTGAACTGCCTTTCCTGTGTGTTAAACAGCTCTTTTCTTTCATCCAGGATTTGTGTATAAAGTTAAACTATGTGCCGTCCACATGCAAATTCACTATTTTGCCTATGGATGTTTGTCAATATTACAGAATTACCGTTGGTCTCCTGCTGAGTAGTGCACTAATATAATCACATCCCCACTGTTAACAGGATTTCCTGCGGAGACATGGTTTCCTATTACCGAGTGGGTTTAGGGTTATGTTATACTAGTTACTTCCTAATGCACATCATCATATCAGTGTATTCCCATTATGATGTAGATAAGCACTTCACCCACATTGAAATTTAATTTGGACCTTGGATGTGTTTTCTGCCCAAGGCATTTTAGGTAATATCGCCCTTGGAATTATTCAGTTGCAAGACAAACCCAAAAGCAATCGTGAATAAATATACTGTGTGTTTTTTAATTGACTTACTTGTACTAGTGTTTTTTTCTGTTTTAATTTCATGTTTTTACTAAGCCAGATTGTTTGACCTCTTTCAAATGAAAGGTGAAATGTATTTAATTGTCTTTGTTTTCTTTTCTTGTTGACTTTGAAGTCTGAGAATAAATCAAGGTAAATTCTATAAAAAATGTACAGTTATTAGAGCAGGTTTTCCAATTTCAATTATGTTTTTCTTTTGTGTGTGTGAGATAATAACATCTATTTTAATTAATGGAAATAACATCCATTAGGGAATTATTTCAAACAATTAGGAGGTTAATTAAGCATGGAGTTTATTTGCACAGGCAAATGAAATATCTGTTTGATGTTGTAGATTTAACACATAATAGATCCTCCATCCCACTCACAGTAATGACGACTACTTTTTATCAACTTTATGCTTGTTCCTGTGGATTTTATCAAATTTTTGTAAAATAATACACCAGCTTCATCCAGTTAATTCAAAGTGACTTTTGATTCAGAGAAGAGCATTTTTTAGGTCGAGGTTGACTCAATTCTGGCACCTCTCATGTTCAACCTTTATATGCTTCCACTGAGCCAAATAATGAGAAAGAACCAAGTCTCCTACCACAGCTATGCTGATGACACCCTTACTGCCTAATGTCTTCAGCCTCATTGACAGCCTCTGCCAATGCACTGATGAAATTAACAGTTGAACGTGCCAAAACTGAAGTAATTGCATTTGGTTACAGAGATGAGGTTCTCA